TGTCAACGCTGTTCTGAGATGTAAGTAAAAACCATGAGCATGCGTCAGTCGTCATATTCGATTCTACCAAACAATAGTAACCACGCCACGGAAAGAAGAGCAATGCAGTGTAATTTGGCATGTATATGCGTCTTTTGCATGCTTCCTTAGCTACAAAAGCCGTAGGGACTTCGTCAAAAATCGTATACAACATACATCCATGCAGGGGCCACAATTTGGTACTGGGTCAACCGATTTGCACATGAAAGCCGTAGCAACGGTTATCATCAACGTACCATACATGAGGCGGTGGGGGTGAGTATGTGTGCGTGTGGGGAGGGGGTTACAAGAGTGCGCGTCTTTCCACCAGCTGAAGATATCTCTCAAACATGGTACCTGTTTTTCTCCTGCCCCCACCCCATACCCTTTCACCTCAAAATCAAACCTACCTGTCACAGTGGGGGCCTTCCGCGCCCCGCTGCCCCGGGGGGAGCGTGGCGCGGCCTGGGGGACGGGGCCGCTGACCCCGGGCTGTGGCGCGGCGCGGATCGTTCAGGGCCGATGGCGCCGCCCGGCGGACCGTGGCACCAATCGCTACCGCCGCCGGCCACACCCAGGGGGCTGGCGGAGGGCGCGACGCCGCCGGCTCTCCGCAGGTACCGCGGCGCTGGCAGACCGAGCACCGGGGACCGTTGGCTGCGTGATGTCCATGTCAGCGCCACCAGCTAATGATCGGGGGTGGGGGAGGGGCTGGGGGGGGGGGGGGGATTCGTTGTTCCCATGCAACACTATACCTGCAGAAGGCGTTAAAATCAATCTCAACAATTAGGATGTGTCTTTTTGCCTGCGGCACTGCCACTTCATAGTGTTCCAATGTGACATAGATCTGGACCGGCTAGTCGGCCTGCAACTTGGCCCTCCCGGAGGTTTGGTGACAACCACACGCCTGACAAAAATGCATTCGATCAAATAGATTAAGGTGGTTCTTGATTCAGGTACTTTAGGATGGACGCCCTTTCATTTCTGTCATTACAATACTTTTCCGCTGTTAGAATACTTGAATAAAATACTTAAATTGAAATGCTTTAACCTCCGTTAAATCTGTTAATGCGATCTCAAAGCATGGCGGCCTTCCGTTCACAACTGAGCAATGCCTGGGATCAGCTCCGCTCCACAGCCGGAAGCACCCCTCCGACGGAGCCGGACCTCCCGTTGCCGCGCCTCGCCGCCCTGCCGTCGGCGGCGGCGGACCGGCCGCGTCCGGGTGGGCGCGGGCTCTGTCGCGCCGCGCCCGCCGCGCGCCCGCCGCCCGGCGGGCGTGGCGGGCGCGGCACAGGAAGTGTCCGCGCGGCTTCCGGTGGGCCGCGGCGGATAACGGCATCACCGCCCGCCACTAATCGCCGCCGCGCCAAAAGTGGTGCGGCCCGGCCCGGCCGGCGTCATTCGATAGTCGGGCAGGCTTTGCCCGCGTCAGACTCGATAATCGGCCGGACGCGGACGTGAGAGACGAGCTGAGGCTGCGCGTGTGCCGCGAGATCCCGGATGCAGAGATGTTTCAGAGGCGCTCGGGTGCTTTGGAGTGGTATAGTTTGACTTGAGAGGTTAAGTCCAGGGCACTTGCTGAGAAAATGGCACCGTACAACAGACCAGCTCTCCCGTATCGACCCGGGCACCACACCTTCAGCTCAAGCCGTTTATTCAGCCAATCCCGCCATAGTTCCGGCTCAGTGGCAATGTTGCCGTCCCCTGTTTATTGCAAGTAAAGCATATGTCTATATCGTACGATATGCAAACGTCACAGTCGGTGGACATCCAGGTCTCTGGCGGATTATTTGCGGTAAAGATTACGTCGGATTGTTGCGTGCCACTGATTTCACCGGATTTGACCTACTTTGGCCGAACGTAGCGCAAAACAGTCCGCGGCCTCACAGTCGGCATTGGTTAGACCAATCGAGAACTGGTTAGACAAATGCCCGATTTGGATGTAATGGCGTAGGAGGGGGGGGGGGGGGACCGCTAACCAGGCCAGGGCCCAATGATTATCAGCAACGGCAGATTATCATGGCCTGGCAGCTCATGAAAGGTGTCACCGCGTAGAAATGCACGGACCATTTGAACATGGGGCTGTTCGTAGCGTTTGCGTTTTCCAGTGGGGACATACGCACCCTGAAAGCGCAGCAGATCTTTTTGGAAAGAAAAACGTCGCTTCGATTATTCTGACAGAGGCCTTCATGTGTGTGTTTTCTCTCGCCACCATAGAACACGTATGAGACAAACACACCTCTTTAATTTTACGATGGCTGTCATTACGCGTATGATGCTGCATAAAACAATTAAAAACGATACTCACGGAAATTGGAAAATGAATGGAAAAGCTCTTTCTGATACGCCTGTGACAATATCCAAAAGAAAAGGTGACTCTTCCAAAGGCGTGGTTTTCTGTTATGCACTTCATCAATCTTCATATTCACTGAGAACATACATACCCTAACATCTGTTGAGCGTATGGAGTTTTTCACAGTGCCTTCCAAGTCCAACCAACGCCAACCTTCAAAAGAGGTCATCTTTAAGCAAAACCTTTTTAGAAATACTGTCTCCTAGCGCTGGAGTGGGCGGCGAAGATAATCGCAAGCTATGAATCATGATTGCATGCTACCGGTTTCTACACTGAAATCCCACTATCATCATCATGCTCAGCGCTCTCAACAATGCATGAATATGCGTCACGTCTGCGGTTGCGACATATGCATGCATGTCTCAACGATTCATATTTTTACTTGCTGCAAAAAATCCGCGAGTAATTTGAAACCACTCAGAGTAAATATATCTCTCCATTTAGTACGAATTCATCTGGATTACTCGGAGGCGTCGTTTCGCAGGCAGCAACACCCAGCTTTGAGGAACTTGTCAGAAACAATTTTGGTCGCCAAAATGTTACGATAACATATCGCACGGTAGACCGGCATAGTTAGATAACGTGTCGCACGGTAGACCGGCCTAGTTAAATAACATATCGCACGGTAGACCGGCCTAGTTAAATAACATATCGCACGGTAGACCGGCCTAGTTAGATAACATATCGCACGGTAGACCGGCCTAGTTAAATAACATATCGCACGGTAGACCGGCCTAGTTAAATAACATATCGCACGGTAGACCGGCCTAGTTAAATAACATATCGCACGGTAGACCGGCCTAGTTAGATAACATATCGCACGGTAGACCGGCCTAGTTAGATAATGATTGTTACGTTTATGTCAATGCCTCGAAAGGTATGCCCAAGAAAACAACCTCCGAGGAACAGTCCAAATAGAATTCCTCTCTCATTACGCGCATAGAGATCAGATGTATTGTTCCTTGTAACGCAATATTTTAACCCCTGTGCCCTTTGCGTCAGCTTGTCACTATTGAGTGCATGCCATACCTGAATAAACTAAATCATGCGCTCGTTTACCAATGAGCTCAAGATACATCACTTCCGCGCTTGCGTTTGAATATGGGACACGATTTGCATGTGTTCAGGTGCGTGAGAGTCCCTGATGGTTGCTTGCATCACTTCCGTCGGTCGGATTGGGTCACTGATAGCCTGCCATCAGCGAAAATGGAGCAAGACTGAACATCATCGAGGACATTGCTGCTTTCCAAGCAGTTTTCCTGCACCCAAAGATTATGAATAGCACCTACACAAGATTGGACGGGGTTGATAATACATGTGGCGCGCGTATTTTGAAGAAAAAACAGCTGTGTCAGTTCATATCAGGCTATGTCCGCTTTGCAAAACAGATATTGTATGCTATTTTTGCTCGGTCTTTGCGGCATGTTTTATGTTGCATCCGATTCTCGCGATGAATGCAAGCAGCCCGTGTCTCGGGGTGAGCTTTGACATCTGATGAGCAATATTGGTTACTTAAGTTAAGATATTTGCGTGCATCGTAAGGATATCGATCTTTTTCTCCTGGATGACATTCGAAAATTTCGAAAAATGTTCTAATTTGAAGCTGTGAGACAAATGTCAGACGCTTCCAGTCCGGTCTTCCCTTCGTGTATCCTGGCGACAAGTTTTACTAAAAAACATGGTCACGCGATAGGGGCATCTGGAATGGGCAGAATGATTTGGCTTTTATCATGCAACACCAATCACCGGCAAAAAATCAGGGTCAGGTTCATGCGCTTGTGTTGGACAATTCATGACCGCTTAGATTTATACCAATATTCTGGTGCCGTGGGAGAAGTTCTCAGAAAATCGCTTGGCCAGCACCGCGCTAGTCGCGACGTGAAATGCAGCGTAAAATCTGACGAAAAATACGACTGCCTTGCAAAAAAACAGGTTTGGGACGAATAACGAGAAGTTGAGTTTGGTCTCTCTGCCCGTCCCCCGCCCCGACCACCACGTTTTCGAATCGGTATCTGCGCCTCTCTCTCCCCTCTGCACGGTCTCGCTCGCCGGCGCGCAGCGGGCCCCACCGCTCCACCGTCCGTCACGCACGCTGAGGCGCTTTTTTCGGCGCATCCCCTGCTACGCTACGTGCCGCGACGCGTCGGCGAGTTTTGCGCGCGCCCGGGCGCGCCAATCGGAAGTCACGTGGCGCGGGCGGCGGCGGGCGCGCCAAATGATCGGTGCTGGTGGGGCGCGCCAGATTGGCTCGCGGGCCGGCCACCGATCCGCCGCTGTCCGACCGAGCGGAGCGGGTAGGACGGACGGCGCGTCGGCTGCCGCGCGCGCTGCGGTGCGGTGCCTGTGACGGTGTTGGGCGGTGTTGGCCGGTGCTTGGCGGTGCTCGGCGGCGGCGGCGGCGCGGTCGTGGGCGGGGCGGCGGGTTCGGCTGGAGAAGGCGGCGGAGCGGCGCCGGCTCCCGGCAGCAGGGGTGACGGTGGCTGACAGAGCCCGGTGGCGGTGACCCGCGGCGTACCCTCGCTGCCTGGTGTCGGGCCCTGCCCCGGTATGCGCTGGGCTCGTTAGCGGCATGACTGGGGCTGTTTGACGGGGAACTTTGCACGGCTGGCTGCGTCAAGTGCAAACGACCCTGGGACGGCGCTGAAGCTGTGACGTCATCATGATGATCTGGTCGCCGACCATTGCTCTGCTGAGCGCTGCGATGAATCTCACTGTGCCGGCCAACACGACTGGGCCCGAGGTTCCGTCAGCCCGCAAAGGTATACCAGGCTGGTGCCAGCGCCGCTTATGCTTCTCAACAGTGACGACATTACGTCCGAACTGCTACCTGAGAAAAGGCTTGGCACTATGCATTCAAATGGATGTCACTCGTTACAACACCATCGAATAAGACGAATCTTGTCGGGCAGCTCATATCTATTTGATGACTCAGATATACGGTATTTGTTGGTGGACTTTGGTGCTGCACGATCTCCCCTATAACTACTCTTTAATGATCGAGCCCTGATGCCTGCTATGCAGTGACTTTTGTTCACATAAAACGGAAGTGTTTCAGCAATAATTCACACCAGACCGCCTCAGTCAAACGGAAAATATTATCGCTTTCCTGTTAAGCTAGTAACATTTGTTTATTCCTGAGTGTCGTTCGCATCGGACTACCGACCTTTTTAAACTGTGGCTATCCTGAAGTTAGAAGTTCGGCTGCGATCCTTTCTGAAAAGTTAGCGGCAGGGCAGTGGCGCGGTCTCCGAGGATGCCTGCGCATGCCGCTCTGCAGTCTCCAGTAGCACGCATCTCGAGCTCGATCATGTCCGTCGACTGATTGTCGTCCCGCAATAAAACGCCGGTTCAGACTCCAGGAATTCCAAGGAGAAAAATTGGGTTGTGACGCGCACACGACCAAAACCCGAATAAGCGACATATATATATATATATATATATATATATATATATATATATATATATATATGTTGGAATATTTTGGCAGAATTCTTTCTTTGATACATGTTTGATTAAAAATAACTGCTGACTCATCATTAACGAGCCTTTTGATGCATCGTTCTAGTTTCCGGGCCTTTGACTTTGCGTCATCGCTTAGATTAAAGATGGTTCGCACAAAATTACTCATATATTCATCACTCCTTCCATTCTAACGTTTCGAGATCTTATCTCATCTTCGGAGAAGACTAAATTGCACAAGAAATCAGTTTTTAGTTTTAAAGGATGAAAAATTGTGCACTACTGTTGGAAAACATCTTTTAGTGCGGAGAACATAAATGAAGCACAACTAATTGAAGTAAGACGGATTGCTATTTTCATCTTCATACATGTAAGAAACACTCATAATGGGAACATCACAAAGACACAATGGGAACACTATTGTCACAATCACATCAGAAGTGCTCGCCGCCCACCATTTAGTAGCTCAAGAGTTCTGCAAGAATTTGTCTGTCTGTTTAAGGCCGGAGAGAGTTCGTTAATGAATATGCTTTCCCAAATTTGAAGGCGCCTTCTGTCACTGCACGTCCGTAAAATGTCAGTGCTGTCTGTCAGTTGTTGTCGTGTCAATGTCATGTCGTGTTCCTGTCGCATGTGGTCCAGAGGTGCCCCGTCACGTAAGTGCATTGTCAGGCGTCGTGAGAGTGTCGTTGTGGTCACACCAATGTAGTGTGTGGGACGAAGTCTGCAGCCTTCGATGTTGCATTGGAATTGATACACTACATTGGTGCATTTCAGTTTGTCGTGTTTGTCTGGACTGTTTCTCATAAGAAAGTTCGATATCTTCTTATTACAATAGTAAATGACAATGTCTATTTTGTGGTCGTTTTTGCCTTTAACATGTTGAGAGATAGTTTCCCGTAAAGCTTTTTCATCCTGTTTGTGAGCAGATGTCATTTGATTTTGATGGTACAGTTTGACGGTCGGTTGGATGTCTTGCCTTGGTTTGCTGTCAAAGTGTCTTGTCATATGTCGTTGTGTCTCGTTTTCAATGTCAGAATTTGAAAAACCGTTGTTCACCAGGATCTGTTTGATTCGTGTCAATTCTGAATGTAGTCCTGTCCAATCAGAGCATATATATATATATATATATATATATATATATATATATATATATATATACCATGATATACAATATTGGATTATATGAATATCTATTTATTTGTACTACACTGATTTGGATTCACCTGGATAAAATTACTCCAATATGCGTAATCGTCACGTGTAAGTAATAAGTTAAGACAACTGGAAATGAATCACACTCCAGAATCATTCTGGTTTGGTAAATGTATGTTGGTCTTGATACAATTCGAGCATAAACTTTTTTAACTTAGGATTACATTCCATCATGGCTCTAGTGAACACTGCTTGTTTTCTGGGACCATTACAAATCCGACTAAAATCAAGGAATGCTGGTCACGTTATGGGTCATAATGAGGCAGTAACGTGGAATGCATGATGGATAAGCATGATAGGCTGCATAGTGATGAAGACAAAGTCTGTCATGGGAACTGGACTCAGACGCTATTTTCGTTGCAGCTGCAACTACAGAGATTGCCACTTGCGACAACGGCAAGGGCCAGCTTGTCTACGAAAGGATACCAGGATACCAACTGCAGGGATACGACCAGGACCAGGTGGGACCATCGGCCGCATGTGACGAACACGACCTCAAAAGTGTGTGTTGCTGCTGCATAATCGTATGATTATTATTCCGAGTATGTCACGCTCCGGAGGGAGCTTTCCTGCAGTTTGCTCCGCAGCTCACCCTACATAATCACTCAACCGCTAAAATAACAAAGCCTCTCCACTCCATTGTTTTGCTGTCTGTCTAAAAATAGTTCGAGCTACTTCCCATAAACTTACGACAAAGTGGTAACCACTAATCCATTCGTTCAGTGCCAACCAACCAAATCACACACATTAGCTCCAGCCCCGTCTTGGAGTGGTGTTCGCGCTCTGCCAACTCACGTTGGAACGTGTCTGCTGAGTGGGCGCAAATCAGCCGTTTATTGCCGGCTGTTGCAGTCGACGAAGTCTGTGCTGCCGCTACAACTGCTCGAGGAATGTCAGCGCGCATGCCTGAAGGACCTAACGATCCAAAACAACCTGCTGCGACCCTGCGGATCGATCGACTTCCACCCCGGTAAGCGGGACCCTCATCACGAGCGGTGCGGGAGAGCCGCCTGCGCTCAGCTGACGCTTGCTGGGCACCGCTCGGATGACCTCGGATGACCTGGGCCGAGCTTGGACCCACAGCACATCATCACACTCAAACAGCAAGAAGCGGACAGGCCGGCCGATGTGATAGGGCTCTCGTGCACTGCCGTGTGCGAGGGACCGTGGGTTCGAACCTAGCCGCCAGCCAAAAGTTTCATCGGCGTCTGCCAGTCGGCGTGATAGGTCACGACTCTCAACGTCCTCAGATGCTGGCAGTGTCGCTAAACCACAGATGATTAAAGCTGTCAAGGGTAACTGACCCACCCAGCTCGAAGTACCACACGACATAGCTCCTGGAGCTATATCACATGGTAACCATACGACATGTCCCTCGTCGCCTTCAAGCCAACACGTCTCTGTCCCCAGGCGAACCGTACGGCAATGGCCAGTACGACTCGTCTATGTGCTACCTGACGGAAGAGAAGGCGACCCCAGACGGCATCGGCACCTTCGTCCGCGTGCCTGGCTACATCCACTTCAACAAAGTCTGCATGCCCTGTGAGTGGAAGCCCGATCACACAGGCAATACACTCGCGGCAAATGCGCTATTTAACTGGTGCCTACAAGCTTTTTGGAAATTTTGGTGCGGAAAAATGTACCCGACTAGTTTGCATTTCAGGCAGTGCTGTCGGGAGGACCCGGTGGTCTAACAGTAGTGCTCTCAACGGTCAGATAATCAACGGTCAGATAATCAGAAGGCCTGAGCGTTGCTTGCGTACTCACACACCAGACAAGGACGGTTGTCTAAGGAATTATCCCATTCTTAAAGGTTACGTCTGCTAAGCATTAGCTGTTCGCAAGTGCGTGGCGTTTTCCAAGTGACGCGTCCTGTTTCTTTTGTACGCTCGACGCTATCGAGTTGGGAGCATGTGACCCAGTTTCGTCTGTGTCTGACCTCTCGCCCCCCCCCCCTCTCTCCAGCTCAGCCCATCAGCCGACACTGTCCCGAGCGGATGTACGTCTTCGAGCGTCATCTGGAGAAGAGCTTCCGACCCCAGCGGAACAACTGCACCGAGCGACGAGTCGAGGACCGGCTGACGTGCGAGCGCATGTGAGTCACCTGAGTCGACTGAGTCCCCTGGACCACTGGGCCCACCGGGCGACTCCCACCTGGTCCACTGGACCCACCGGGGTGCGCTGCCAGACCGCGGCAGGACGACTACCGCCATACCGGCAGTGACTGGCGTCGTATTCACACCAGCGCAGCGGTGTAACTCTCTTTACAGAACGCTGCAAAAAAGACTAGAGAATTATGGACTTTTAGCCCAATATCGACGGCTATTCTGAATCGGGTAGGGTTGTATGACGGCCAGAACATGATTTCGGCTGTCCGTTAAAAATCTCGATGGTTTAACTAGTAGATGATGCGATGTTATTAACAAGAGGACGCCGAGTACAGCCTTGTTTGTAAGGAACGGCAAGCTTCAACCAAACTTGACGAGGAATGATTTTGATTAACACGCACCTGGGTAGCCGGTTCAATATTCTTTGCTCGGATGAGGGTCAGCTTGACCCCTGAGACCTAACAAACTAAAATACCAAGAGACACAAAATTCACAGGGTGGATTGGCCTGTACGTAAACTCATTTGAATCAAAATTTAAAGTTCCTAGGTCATGACCTTGTGGTCAGATAATGTAAACAAGGTCAAACTCCAGATTGGTGTCTTAAGTGCTCCCAGGCCTAGATGTTGACCTCAGTCATTTTAGGTCAGTGACCTACTCTGACCTTTAAAAAGTCCATGGAACATTCTGTTTCGGTGCCTGTCATTCAGAGATTGAAAATGAGCAACAGAAACTATCCCACAAAGCCAAGCCCTTGAGTAAAAAGGCAGGCTAGTTTTGGCCTCGGTGTAACCTTCATACCTGACCCTAGGTCAATTAGTTTTTGTTATTATATCTTTAATTGGTTTGTTGTCTAAAAGACTTTCAGATAGGTATGGCTTTGTCTAACACTCCGTTGTTGCATCACATAGACCGATTCCTTAGAAATGCTCTTCGCTCACAGACATGGCCTGACTTTGACCTCCCAAAGGTCAGCAGCCTAACAAGTTAAATTTAATTTTGTTGCATCAGAAGATCTGCCATTCATTTTTCACGTTGAACCCCACTCGAGCGCGTGTTAAGATATTTTGCCGTTGACCATAAGATGCGAATTAAAAAACTGGATAGCTCTACGATCACAGCGCTGCCACCTGCAACATGATCATACTTTCAACGCGATTTAAATGCACTCAGGTATAAATTTCAGGTGAGAGTCTTGAGACTCAAGGGGTTCTCAAGATAGCTTTTTTACATCAGCAGCAGCCCAGCGTGTATCAAGTCGACCGCTTTGTGTGGCCGCAGGTGTCTGAACTCTAAAGACGAGGTGTGTGTGACCACAGGTGTCTGAACTCTGAGGACGAGGTGCGTGTGGCCGCAGGTGTCTGAACTCTGAGGACGGGGTGTGTGTGGCCACAGGTGTCTGAACTCTGAGGACGGGGTGTGTGTGGCTACAGGTGTCTGAACTCTGAGGACGGGGTGTGTGTGGCAACAGGTGTCTGAACTCTGAGGACGGGGTGTGTGTGCCCACAGGTGTCTGAACTCTGAGGACAAGGTGTCTGGGGCCGCAGGTGTCTGAACTCTGAGGACGGGGTGTGTGTGCCCACAGGTGTCTGAACTCTGAGGACGAGTTGTGTGTGGCCGCAGGTGTCTGAACTCTGAGGACGGGGTGTGTGTGGCTACAGGTGTCTGAACTCTGAGGACGAGGTGTCTGGGGCCGCAGGTGTCTGAACTCTGAGGACGAGGTGTGTGTGGCCACAGGTGTCTGAACTCTGAGGACGAGGTGTGTGTGGCCCCAGGTGTCTGAGCTCTGAGGACGAGGTGTCTGGGGCCGCAGGTGTCTGAACTCTGAGGACGAGGTGTGTGTGGCCGCAGGTGTCTGAACTCTAAAGACGAGGTGTGTGTGGCCGCAGGTGTCTGAGCTCTGAGGACGAGGTGTGTGTGGCCGCAGGTGTCTGAGCTCTGAGGACGGGGTGTGTGTGACCACAGGTGTCTGAACTCTGAGGACGAGTTGTGTGTGGCCGCAGGTGTCTGAACTCTGAGGACGGGGTGTGTGTGGCCACAGGTGTCTGAACTCTGAGGACGAGGTGTCTGGGGCCGCAGGTGTCTGAGCTCTGAGGACAAGGTGTGTGTGGCCGCAGGTGTCTGAACTCTGAGGACGAGGTGTGCCGGTCGGCCTCGTACAACTCTGTCAACCAGACCTGCTTCATGTGCCCGATCACGTGGCGCTCCGCCCCGGCGCTCTTTGTCGATAAGGCCGGCGAGGAGTACATCGAGAACATGTGCCTTGAGAGTGAGTACCCGACAGCTCACCAGGAGTAGAGTGGTTTAGTTAGGGCGAGTGCACCAGCACAGTGGAGTGATGCCACTGTTTCTGGTAGATGGTAAACTGGTGAGCTCTCACCTGGTAAATATTTGTACAGGAGCACGACGCACGTTTTCGCGCACCCTGTCATGGAGCGGTAGCGACCGCAAAGGCCTCCCGTAGGCTATGCATAGTAGCGCTCAGGGGCCATGGCGTAACGGGGATATAAACCCGGGCCCCCATGTGTGTGCCGAAGGCATTAACTACTCGGCAGATTGCGCCTCTTTACCTGGCTAGTCAAGATTATGAGATAAAGTGATGCATCGCAGTGCCTTAATATTAACAGGTAACCCAAATTATGAGGTATGTTTCGTACCCGCAGCTTGCGAATGAAAAATATGTGGCACACTTTTACTTCTTCACGCTGCTGCCCAACGTAAATAGGTGTGGTTAAGTGCATTGTTATTTATTAGCAGGCTATTAGTGCATACGTGTAGTGATTGTAGACATGATCATTCCTCATGGGACGCGTAAAAAACGGTAAACAATAATGGGAGAACGTTATGCCTTTCAACCGTGGGTTTATGAATGAGTTTGCTGTGTCCTCATCGCTTAGTACTCTCATTGTACATAATCATTACTATGTGTTACGTGCTCTGCTTACCGTGCCTTTTTAACAAGCAAGCCCGCATGCCTACGTTTTGCTGTGTCTGCACTCGTATTCTTTTCCGCCCTCACTTGTGTTTGGTTAGCGCCAGCCACCGGCTTGTTCTGTTCCGTTCTTGCCCGCTCCGTTGGCTGCCTCGCATTCGTTCCGCTTCTCTTGGCCGTCTCCGCGTGCGGCGCCGTCGCCCGCCGTCGCCCCGCCTCCACTTCCTGATGCTAACGCCGCTCACCCTGACCAGCCGTGTCCATCACAGAGTCGCGCCGGTGCGAGCGGCCCGACCACCTCATCTTCGTCGAGGAGGCCAACCGCTCGCTCCGCACGCCCAACAAGCCCACGCGCGTCCGCGACCTCTCGGTCAAGGAGTGCAAGAGGCAGTGCGCCGAGCACCAGCAGTGAGTGGAGCTGCCCGCACCGCCAGTACCCTACGATGAAGCAGAAATGTTTAACAAGCTTATAAGAAATTGTGCATTTGCTTTGAGGCATAGTGGTCTTACTGCACTTATTTTCAAAGATCAGTGCGCTTCTTTGCTTACAAAGTATGGTTTCAGTGGTCTGAACACCTTTTTAAGTGAATGTATATTTTTTGAAAGATCAAACAGGAATACAAAGATATGTGTTACACATCTGGAATGCAACGAAGCGTGTTGTAGGAGCGCGAAGGTAATGCGAGCCGTCACCCACATCTTACAATTGCGCCAGAACGACTAAGCGCTAAAAAGGCGAACCAAATTGCTTGCTTGCAAAACCAAACCAAAAAACATGCTGCTTGACTGATCGCTCAGGACGAGTGCGAGGCACTGACGCGCACTCCCACCCCCCCCCCCCCCGCCAGGATCTTCTGCCGGGCGCTGGAGTACAAGCCACTGACCAACGAGACGGGCGACTGCTACCTGCTGGAGGACGACAGTCTGAGCGTGTCGCCAGAGACGCGGGGCGCTGACAGCCGCGACGACACCAACCTCATGGAGCTCATGTGTCTCGACCACGGTGAGGAGTCGCCACTTCCGGGGAGACTGAGCGAGGGCTGTCGGCTGCTGGCCAGCTGCGGTACCGTTGGCCGCTGGCCAGCTGCGGCGCTGCCAGCTGCGGCACTGTCAGCTGCTGGCCAGCCGCGGCACTGCCAGATGATGAGGTCGAGTCGTCGGTGGCTGGGGTGCATTTCAGCATAAACCACGGAGATGTATGGTATTACGCAAAAAATCTGTAGGCGTGGTATTTAAAACTATTGATACTTGTAGGATAACTGGCCCTGGCCAGCCATTGGCCGACATGTAAACAGTGTCCGGTCGGTATCTGATTTGTGTCTGCCAGGTGTAAGATCGGCTCCTGTGTACAAAGAGTGGTCACACGGTCTCTCTGTCTCTCTCTCTCCCCCCCCCCCCCCCCTCTCTCTCTCTCTCTCTCTCTCTCTCTCTCTCTCTCTCTCTCTCTCCTTTCTCTCTCTCCTCTCCCTTTCTCTCTCTCTCTCCCTCTCTCTCTCTCCCCCCCCTCTCTCTCTCTCTCTCCCTGCCCTCTCTCTCCCCCCTCTCTCGCTCTAACTTTGTGTGTGTGTGTGTGTGTTTGTGTATGTGTGTAGTCTTCGGCGGGTATCAGTGGCAGGTGCGCCTTCCGCTGCGTGACGGTGACGGCGGCCGTCCTCTCCTGCAGTGATACAGCAGCTGTCGGACCGAACCGGGGCGGGACGGAACGCCGACGGCGACGGCGCCGACGGGCGGCGACCGGCACCCGGCGGCGACGACCAGGTCTTCTTCAGGTGCGTCTCGGCCTGCCCGGCGCAGGGGCGACGGCACCGCCGGTATCTGAGCAGCCAGTCGCTCGCCGTCTCAAAACTGTAGCCGGTGTCGGCAGTGTATGTGTCTCGAGTCACCAGGCTGATCGCCCCCTCCTGTTGTAGTTCCAATCCAGTGATATTTCAACCCTAAACCTCGCGTGCGTCTTACTCAATTTTGGTAAGAAAGCGCTGTCACACACACTCAAAACCCCGTAGACATTTCCACATCAGAGTGAGTCCACCTCTCTAATCTGACCTGCCCTAATCTGTCCGTGCCTGACCTGACCCGCGTGCCCACCCACCCCAGAGAGGGCCTGCACCGGGAGGCGGACCGCGAGTACGTGACGGCGTTCCGCCGGTACAGCCGCAACCGTCTGGAGGGTGCCCAGGTGATCACCCAGCTGCCCGACACCTCTGACAGGATGTGCATGCTGGCCTGCCTCCAGACGCCAGGGTGAGTGGGCTAGCTCCACGCCAGCAGGGCAGGCGGCCGGCCCGCTGGCTGCATCGAGTGCGACGGCGCTGTTTCTGAAGTAGAGGCATTCTTATTATCGTCCGCCACCGGCCCATTGCTTTTTATCCGAGCTGATGGAACTGGATGTTAAATGGTACGCCATTGTCACTTATATCTTGTTGGATACTAGAGAAGCTCGAGGATTGAAAGCTTGAAATTACATGAGCTTAAACTTTATTTATGCCTTTGGATTTGCCTTGAAAGCACGAAAGGAGAGGTGTAGTGAGTTTCGTGCGCGGATGGATCAGACTGGACGCTGACTCTGGTCTCCTTCATGGCCGGCAGCTGCCAAGCCATGACGTACAGCAAGCGGTTCTCCATGTGCGAGCTGTACCACCAGAAGGACGGCATGGGCGGCGCTCGACTGGTCTACCACGATGACTACAATTACTACGAGAACCTGCTTGGAGGCAAGTCACATCTACCACAGTCTTTCTTTCATCACTATCGCAGTCTGGCTCCCATGTAATCACTGGATTGTCGGAGGGAAAGTGATGGGTGAGATTTTGGCACGGAATGACTTGAGTTGTTAAACATATTTTGTTCTTCATTAATGCCAACAGCTGCATCCGGTTACAAACACGAAAAACAGACAGTTTGCCTCAGGGAATGCAAGTCAAAGCTGCACCGCACGCTTCAACTGTTTTTTTTTTGTCCAGTCATCTATTGCGAATGCCATTTAGTCCAATGCAACTATTGAGTGGCTTAGTGTTACGGCAATGAATGACCTGTGACAACAAAGCACGTGCACTTAAGTTTCCCAGCATGGTCTTCATCTTTTTCATATCTACTTTCAGACGAAACTGGCCAAATATTCGATAAGTTCCCGTGCTGTGAGTGCAGACATTCAGCCATGGCCCCTCGTCACACACTTCTCAGTACCGCATGTGGTTCAGTGACTTGCGCGGTTTGCATGAGTCGGTGTCCCGACCATTTAGTCTGTTAGGTCGCGAAGGGGCTATTTTGTTAAAAGCAAAAATCCACTGAAAAGTACACGAAGGAAAGAAGGAAGCATCTGTTGCAATTTTAAAGAACCTGACACACACACACACACACACTCATATATATATATATATATATATATATATATATATATATATATGTATATATATAATGTATATATATATATATATATACATAATAAATAATATATATGTATATACATATATATATATAATATATACATATATATATATATATATATATATATATATATATATATATATATATATATATATATATATATACATAATTTGACAGCACGGTCTGCCCCATCCCAGACCGGATTGCTGCATCCATTAGTGACACAACTGGCGCTTGAGCTGCAATGCTTTGCTTACGTCAACCTTGCGTTTAAACGAGTGAGGCAACATAATTGGGCTATAGCCAAAACCGAGGTGCATACTTCACCTGTGGGACAAACTTTCTTGAGTTTATAAAGTTGTGTCCGAAGGCAGCGTACAATGTCCCAAATTTGTGACTAAATCCATTTGTGGAATAAGGTTAGGTTAGCCGGGAAGACGACCTGGCCGCTAAGCCGAGGAGCTGGATATGCTGGCACGTATTCCACACAATTATTTTGCATAAAAAGACGTTCAAAACAGATGAGGCAATACACCAAAAGTCAAAACCACATACAGCCACTGCACTGGTATGCGTCAAATTCTTCAGCATTATTTCTACGGGTACATGACAAGGAGAAATGTCGTTGATGTGATCCAAAAGAGCTTATATAATCTACCTGGATGGCTCAAGGTTGGCACCGAGGCATACTGAGCGTAGGCACCTCCAGGGCGGCGAATCTGATCTGCACTTTGCGTATCTCTTCGGTTTTTTACCGGAACGACGGTCCATATCCCCGCCATGGAGCGGAGCACAGCGTAGCGAGCGTCGGTGTCAAAGGACACAATTGGACATGTCACGTGAGGAGCATGACCTGAAATCGGACACCGAACCGTCCGGTCAGGTGACGCCATGACCCAGGGTGATTGACCGCCACCACGTGACCCATTTGTCCTAGTCCATGTACGTTGAGGAGAGATAGCTCATATGGTGCTCGGGCTGTAGCAGAGGAGATTCTCCGACCTGTGGCGTCACTGGAACCAGCTGCCAGCGGACATGGGCCACCACTGGGTTCCACGGACCGTGGATTTTGGTGGCAGAAACAGATCATACAATGACGGGGAATCATGACTGACGATGCTCCGGACAGAGAACGCCCCGGGCGGTAAAGACTCCAGTCGAGACGGGCTGCTGCAAACATACGGGCTCCGGACTGGTTAGGGACGGGCGCACCACCGTGACGTCACCGTGCCCCGTGACGTCATACTGCCCCTCTCCAGATGGCTTCTTTGGTCGTGGCGGCCGCGGCGGAGGTGGCTACTATGGTGGTGGCGGCGGCGGCTTCGGTGGCAGTGGAAGAGGCGGCGGCGGCTACTACGGCGGCGGCGGCGGTGGTACTTACTTCGGCGACGGCCGTGGCGGCGGCGGTGGCGGCCGTGGCGGCGGCTTCGGGGGCGGCTACGGCGGCGGCGGCGGCGGCGGCTACGGCGGAGGCGGCGGCGGCTACTACCAAGGAGGACGAGGCGACGGCGGCAGTTATTATGAGTCAAGAGGTACATTTGGCGGGAGCGGCGGCGGCTTCTCTGGCGGATGGGGCCAGTCCCGGCCGGCGGGCGGCTTTGGCGGCGGCGGCGCTGGCGGGCCCGGCGGCGACGGTCCGCGCGGTTCATTTGGGGGCGGTGGCGGCGGCAGGGGTGGTGGCGGCGGCGGCGGTGGCGGCGGCTCGGCAGGCGGCGGTGGCGCACCGGGCGACAACACCATCGGGGTTGATGCACCTCCACCCAAGCCGACCGTCATTCTGGTCAGCGAGGGCGGCGAGGATCCGAACGCCAGTCCAGCCCCGCCGCGCGGCGGCGGCGGCGGCGGATCCTGGAGCGGCGGCGGTGGCCGCTGGAGCGGTGGCGGTGGCGGTGGCGGTGGCGGTGGCGGCGGCGGCGGCGGCGGCGGCGGTGGCGGTGGCGGTCGCGGCGGCGGCTGGTGGAGTGGTGGCGGAGGCGGCGGCGGCAGCGGCGGCGGCAGAGGCTCATGGAGTGGTGGTTCGGCAGGAGGCTGGGCGTCGGGCGGCTCGACCGTGTACCGACCGGGCGGCGGCAAGTCCCGCGTCATCTCCGAGGGAGGTGGCTGGGAAGACTGGAGCTACGACCGGCGCGGCGGCGCAGGTGCGCACCGGTTTGTCTCGCGCGCTGGTGACGGGGACGGCTTGGACGCGGCCTCGACAGGATCGGGCGACGCTAGCTTGCCGGAGCAGGACGGGGCCGCACTGCAGCGGCCGAGTGGCGCGGCCAACGGCTCGCGGCCGACCGCCGACGCACCGCCGGCGGCCAGGCAGCTAGGTACACGCTGCATGCGGACAGCGCATGCGCGCCTGGAGACGCTCGTATCCCAGGCTTGGTGCCAGCCTTGCGATCCAGGCCGGTAGAGAGGCCGCGCGGGACGGCCGCAAGAGGGCGGGGCCTGGCTGCCCAACTGCGGCGACTGAGCCTGCTGGGGGTAGCTGAGGACACATTCTGAATCCGGCGTGCTTTCCAGCTTTACCGACATGATGATGCGTAGCTAGACGTTCCTGCAGTTCGCTCTTACGAATTTCTTTCCGTAGTCAGAGCAGACGTAGATGGATCGACTTGCATCTCCCCGCATCCTGCTGGCCTTCTCCGGGATCTTCGGATCGGTTTGCCCGGTTTGCGACGTCAGCATACCGCGTCTGCAACGCATCTCCGTCCATGACTGACAGCAATGCTCCCGATGGCTGCTCCGACCGTGGCGTTGGGTCGCCACAGCATGGATAGGGAAGCCTGATGAACTGAGATTGCATGCTGATGCTTGATGCTGCACCTTGAAGGCGTTTTTGGTATGATTGCATTTTGAGCCTGCATGAGCCGTGATATGCGCTGGTCTGAACCGTCTGCGCATAACATCACATCGCTGTTTGCTGAAAAGATGTTAGAATATTGCCTGATAGGAGCATCTAAGTGCATAAACAGTACAAACTACTTTGATTACAGCGAGACCAAGTTCTTATTCGAATGAATAACTTAAATTATGATTATTGAATTCATCAAATAAAGAGAATATGAGCAATCACACGTCCGTGGTAGAAGAACCGCTTTGATAAACATGCAGCTTTGCTTTCCACGCAGCTTCGGATCTGCGGACACTGGGGGCGCCGAGAGCACCTGACCCGTTTGGCGTCCCTCCCCTCCCCGCTGACCTCCCTCGCGGCCACCAGGCGGCTCCGGTGGCTTCTTCGGCGGCTCCAGCCGCGTTCCCTTCGACGGCGACGAGGGGCGTTACGACGACCGGCGCGGAGGCTTCGGCGGCGGCGGACGCTTCGGCGGCGGCGGCTTCGGCGGCGGCTTCGGCGGCGGCGGCGGCGGCAGCGGCGGAGGCTTCGGCAGCGGCCGGTTTGGCGGAGGCGGTCGGTTCGGCGGCGACGGGTTCGGTAGCCGCGCGCGCAGCTGCTTCGAGGACCGCTTCACGCTGAAGGAGACCGGCCGCCGCCTGAGGCCCGAGCACACCAGTGACCGGCTGTCCGTCTCCTCGCTCAGCCAGTGCGAGGAAGAGTGCGTGCGCACGAAGAAGTTTGTCTGCAAGTCCTTCTCGTACAGATACAGGTGCGGGGTAGCCGAGTGGCAGTGACTGTTTCATTTTCTTTGGTCTCTTGGTTCTTTATCAAACCTGCTATATGCTAGAGTAGCTGGGAGCGGATGGCCCACGCACATCAATTATTGTATAGGCAATCCTATCGCGTAAATGATAGCGTGCCCTCATCTGGTGACAGCTACAGTAATTAAGTTTCGGACCACTTCTTGACGGGCAGCAGTTACATTGAATGTTTGCTTTTATTTCACTCCTCAACTCCTGACCAGTTCATGTAGGTGCAGCCACTGCGCGAATGAAAGGCACAACGCACGAAAACTCAACACTCACACATGATCGCTGCCTTCCAATTACACCTTGTATCTCGAAGCTCGCCGATTCCGTTGCAGCTCATCCGGAACGAGCGCCTCTCTGGACAACTGCGAGCTGAGCAACTTCGACTCGCGCGACTCGCGCAGCGAGGACCGGTACTTCGAGATGGACCGCGATTACGACTACTACGACCGCTCGCGCATCGAGAACTGCATTGACCACGAGATCGGTGGTTCCGTCTGGCGGAAGTGGCGGCAGCTTCTCAGGCAGCAGCGGCTTCTCTGGCAGCAGCAGCAGCAGCAGTGGATTCGGCGGCGGTGGTGGAAGCTTCAGCGGCGGCAGCGGCGGCGGCGGCGGGTTCGGCGGTGGCAGCGGGTTTGGCGGCGGCGGCGGGTTCGGCGGCGGCGGTGGGTTCGGCGGCGGCGGCGGGTTCGGCGGCGGCGGCGGGTTCGGAGGCGGGAACGGTCTCGGCGGTGGTTTCGGAGGCGGGATCGGCAGACCGGGCGGCTTCGTCGGCGGGGGCGGCGGTTTCTCCGAACAAGGCTTCATTAGCACCGACGGAGGAGATGGTGAGACACCCGCGCTTCAGTGAAGCCTTATAAGACCACCCTATGCAGGAAAGAATATATACACGTGTGCGTATAATCGCACATTTAATTACTGTCTGCCATATTATTACTGAATTATTCATCTGCTAAGCTGCATCCATGCTGCGCCGCTTGAAAAGGATCGATAAAAAGAGAAAGATCCTGTGCTCCACGTGTTCATCCTGACCGGCGGCCGCTAAACGTCGCAATACCGGTTTTGACTTCTGACCCCTTCGTGACTTAGCTTTGAATTAAATCTTACTCGGTCACAATGCTAGTCACCATACCCCGGATCAGTCTGTGTTCCCGTGTCTGCCTCAGCCCCCACCCTGCCTCCATGTCAGTTGGTAACCCGCTGGCCGGAGCTCTAGCTCTGCCTGCGAGTCTCGGTCACCGGGCCGGCTTCTGACCCTGCCCGTGCCTGCCCCGCCGTCGCAGTGACCGCCACCTGTGACGAGAACGGCATGGAGCTGACGCTGCAGGCCAACGCGCCCTTCTACGGCCGCATGTACACGTACCGGCACTACGACCAGTGCAGCGTGGTGGGGCGCGGCGACCGCGTCATGTCGCTTCGCATCAGCGCCGACGGCGGCTTCCCTGCCTGCGGCACGCAGAGGGTAGGTGCTCTAACCCTGGCCGACGGCTCCTACTGGCTCGCAGCGCGCATACAGTGCGCCCGCGGCCAATGGTGGACGGATATTCCAGCCTGTCAGGTGTTGTCGGCCCATTCAGCCGGTCTTGCCCGTACGAACCACGCAAAGCACAGATAAGAGGGAAGAAATTGCCGCGGCCTTACCATGCGAGGTGATCTACAGCCCATTGGAATGCGGTTAGTTGTAACGACCGTGATATCTGTGTCCTTGAGTCTTTCCAAGAAAGTCTATGCCTTTCTAAGTAACTCGATGGCGAAGGCGCAGCTCACTCCATTATGACAAGGCCTTTAATTAGTACACCATATAAAACACGCCCCGACGCGCGCGTGCATGCTTCAACTCCCGAGCCGCGTGAGGCGCTGCGTTGTTTAGAGCACGCGTATCCCCTTGAGCTTGGGTGCGGTGCCAATGCCTGCCCTGAGCTCTGTCACGCATGCCCGGCAGTTCGGAGACGTCATGCAGAACATCGTGGTGGTCCAGTTCAGCGAGTACGTGCAGACCAACTTCGACAAGCGCTACAACCTGACCTGCTACTTTCAAGGGCCGGGTGAGGCTGTCGTCACATCCGGTTATATCTCAGCCAGGTGAGAAGGCAGGCGTCGGAAGGCTGAGCTGAGCTGAAATTCCAAGGTGGTCAAACCACGCGGCGGGTAAACTAACGAACGACTGCGCTGCCATTTTCTGACCGATGGAAATGCTAAATCCTAATTGAGGTATCTTGTCCATGTGGCGCTCTAGCACAGATAGGATGTTGATCCCAGCAGCGATGCCTCAAGCGGTGTTGAGACATTCAAAAATGGCAAGATCTTAGCACGTTATGACCACAATACACGCTGAAAGTGTCGGCCATGTGACTCGGGCGTAAGCTAATTCGAGCCGTTTTGAGCAACTCTTGAAAACAGTCCAAGCCTGCGCCGCGCAGCACAACCAGCCCTTCGTCTCGAGTCACGCCGCACGTGCTGCTCAGCGTCGCGCTCGCCTGACCCATGACGTCATCGCGTGCAGCCCCGGCCAGCTGACGCCCATCATCGACCTGCCGGCGCGCGAGGTGCTGGACTCGCGCGTGCGCCTGGCCATCCTGTACCAAGGCCGGCCGACCACGACCATCGCCGTCGGCGACCCGCTAACCTTCCGCCTGGAGACTCAGTCCGGCTCCAACCTGGTCACCGACATCTTCGCCACCAACGTCATCGCGCGCGACCCGTACTCGGGCCGCTCGGTCGAGCTGATCGACAGATACGGGTAGGCGGCGCGCGGCCGGGGCGGCTGGCGGGTAGACTGTGAGATGGGCTTGGGTGTCGGGCAGGGCCGCCATCGACCGGGGCGGCTGATGGGCAGACTGTGGGATGGGCTTGGGTGTCGGGCAGGGCCGCCACCGACCGGGGCGGCTGATGGGCAGCCTGTGGGATGGGCTTGGGTGTAGGACAGGGCCGCCACTGACCGCCAGGGCGGCAGCAAGCTCGCCATGTCGCTATGTTTGAAGGAAGCTGCAATCTGGTTTGGCGGAGCGAAAGTGTGACAGCATTGATTCCATGTCAGAGTGCGTTCAGGTATTCTAGATCGATTTCTCGCGTCAGAATCACATGTATTCGCGGCCACCGTCGAACATCGACAGTGCTAGAGCGCACGGACACATAAGCTGACCTAGTTTTCGGGCCACCGAACTGACCCTGGCTGCTTGTCTGCCCAGATGTCCGACAGACCCACGCCTCTTCCCCGGCCTGGACCTGTCCCGCGACGGCAACGGCTGGAGGCTCGCTTCAGCGCCTTCAAGATTCCGCAGTCCAACTACCTGCTGTTCGAGGCGACCGTGCGCCCGTGCCGCCAGCGCTGCCGTCCGGTGAGTACGCCTCCGGCATGCGTCGGCCACCCCACCGGTCGGAAACTGGCGTGGTGGATGTTAGTGTCGTCGCTATCAAAACGTCACGTCGAGTTGATCCTGAGTGAAATGGTCGGAGTACCGGGTGGAGAAGAGCAAAGAGGCAACGTGTGGTTTGAGAACGTTGCTGGATACGCGACCTCGCCGACGTGTATTAAGATGGTATGCCTGCTAGTCTCTAGCAGTTTCTAGTCTCTGTCTGCGTCCGTTTGTGCCTCAGGCTCTCAGTTGTGGATGTGGTGTGCGGTGAAAACCGGCACACGTGTGAGGCGGAGACCGTTGGGTTCACGAGTGTGGCTGGGACGGGCAATACGATGCTGCTGACCTCAGTAACCTCACATGTCAATGCCAAGCACCTGCATATGTGATTGAGGCCGGTACTTGAGTACTCAGAGAGATCTCGCACCCGTTCGAGAGGTCAGCGGTACCGCCCAGGTCCGCGTTCGAGCCTGACCTCGCCCTCCCGGTCCGTGGCAGGCCACCTGCGCTGTGGACGGCCGCGAGGAGGTGTCGTTCGGCCGGCGGCGGCGACGCGCGCTGCCTGAGAACGCCACGGAGGAGCTGCCGCTGCCGGACCCGGCCGACGAGCCGGTGGAGCCGCAGGATGAGGAGATCGGGCCCGACATCGACCCCAAGGACAGCGAGGAGTATGTCAAGCGACTGATGAGCGTGAGTAAAGCCGGCCACGGACGCGCGCCTGGTCCTGCACGACTCTCGTAGCACGGGTGGAAGGAGGTTGGTCGTCTCTGTCGCGCAGCCGGCGCGGGTTGGGTCCGATCTTCAGAGAGTCCTCGGAGTAACATCGCAGCAGGGATGGGCCGGATGCCGGGCCTCTGCCGTCGCCACACACCCCTGCCAGCTGTGTTAAGGCTGCGCTGACGCTGAACCCACCTGTGCTATACCTGCAGGTGTTCTACACCCGGGAGGAGCTGGTGGCCGAGGAGGTGAAGGTTCCAGAGGATGTCTGCATCTCGTCGGCCGAGTACTACGGTCTGCTGGCCACCATGGTGGTCCTGATGGTGCTGATGGTGCTGGGCGCCGTGCTGGCCGGCCTCTGGTTCCGCCGCAGCCGCCTGCTCGCCTACAAGAATCAAGACGCCGATATGACTTCGCCGCTGCCCCGAGCCTTCTCCGCTCCTGGCATCGGCAAGAACACATTCTCCTTCCTGCACGGAAAACGGTGCGTGGGTAGTGCAGTCTCGGTGCTGTGATGGGCATGGCTGCCGCTGAGCTAGCTGCCGTTAATTCGATTTATTTATGAAATAATAGCCATCACAAATATATTAAATGTGTCGACCGCCACTTCTGTGGAATCTTTTCTCCTGGTGTGCCGGAAAGTATCAAGTGTAGTACAGCTATAACCGGTGTCATGCTTCCTCAGGTCGTCTCCGATGGGCCACAGCTTCCCCCAGGGCAGCGCCAACCCGGCATACGACGTGGACGGTCCGCCGGCGCCGCGTGGCCGCAAGTTCGACGACCCGAGCGAGCCCATCTACACGGACCCGTCGCTGTTCGAGCGCTCGCGCAGCCTGCGTTCCGTCTCCGCCTCAGAGTTCGGCCAGACGCGCAGCGCCGATCAGCAGTGACGGCCGCGCCAGCACGGGCGGGGCGCGCCGGGCGCGGCGGCGGGCCGGCCTGCCGCCCCAGTCGACGCCGCGGCGCGTCCCCGGCGCCCGAGCAGACAGGCAGTGAGAGTGAGAGGGGATGACGTGCGGAGGACGAGGGGTGCCCCCGGCCGGCGGCGGACGCGGCCAAGAGCTGGAGCTGGAGGAGTGCGCGCCGATGAGGCAGATGGACCGCGAGGGCTAGGGGGCGCCCCCGACCGACCGTGCGGGCTGCGCCGTCGAGGGGTCTGCCGGAGACTGTACTGATGCGGGGTCCGCCCGAGTGATCAGTCCGACACACGCCAGCTTCTGACGCCAGAACGGCGGCTCGGACTGTGAACGGGAGCGCTGCAGTTTTGTACTTTTGCTATCCTAGGCGTAGTCGTGTTCATGTGTGTACCTACAATAGTTATCGCCGCCGTCGGCCGCACCGACGGCGGCCTTGGCCGCCGCGCTCGGGTGTTCCGGCCGCCATCTTGCCAGAGGCTGAGTCCTCTGCGTCGCCGGCGGCTGGCATCCAAGCGCCGACGAGTGACGAGGCCAGCTGCGCTGCCCGTCCTTGCCAACGGCAATTGCCGCGGCGGCGTGGTTCCAAATGTTCCCCACAGATGCCACTGCCATCGGCGGGGCCACGACTCGGCGGAGACTGCCGTTGGACGGCCGTGCTTTTCGATCTAGTGTAAATCGCTTTAAAGTATAAGTTTATTGAAGGATGCGACGCCAGCTTCATCTAAAAATAAACACTTCACCCTCACTGAATAATGTATTACTGCCGCAGCCGTTTTTTCTCCTGAAGCCTGCCACAGGGCCCGCAGTTGGGACTTTTGGCAGGCTTGGAGTCACTTATGCCTTTCACAAACCTAAGTGAGCGTGCATCCGTCTCTGTTATCCTCTATTTTGCTTCATCCTGAATTCTTCCGACACCCCTCTTGTCCGGGGCGGGCTGCATGCGTCAGCCACGAGTGGGCCCGGAGCTCCATGGGACGGGAGACGCTGACCGGGAACCAAGCGCGCATGCACGGGTCAAACCTCAACGGTTGGCCCCCCAGGCGCACACAGTTCTGCCCCACCGTTAACTATTTTCCTTTATCCCGTAGCCCTGAACTGATTATTTCTGGTCGAAAGGGCTCTAATCCAAACACCAAATCAAGTGAGCATGTTATAGAGAAACACTTCCGGAGGCTGAAGGTCACTAAGTGCATTTTTTGGGGTTGAATGATCACTCACTCTTCGGACCAAGACAAAGTAAGCATAAACCTATCACTTTGAAGCCCTTCTTAATGGGCGACCATACAAATTTTGCGCACAGCCCCAAACTCAACTTGTCTCGAGTCTTACACGTGATGTTTGCCTTCTATACATCTGATTCTGTCACATCTCACCTTGATTGGCATCGGACGGGGCTGAGCGTCAGCATCACGATGCCAGCTTTGGCGCCCTTGTTTGGATTTGCCGTTTTTCATAACGCGAACGAATAGTGAATGGGGAGGGAGTATAACGCGACCCGCCATTTGCAAGCTAACAAGATGAAACCTCGCAAAAAACGAACGACGTGCCTCACCGAGATCTCACAATTGGCCTTGGGTTGCTAGGTCTAAATTTACTCTATTTAAGCCCATTAGGCAGGGGTGGATCCAGGATTTCGTCGAGGGGAGGAGGCCTGAAGACACTGTGGGGCCCCCTAGAGTTTGGGGCTCCGCTAGAAATATCCTTGCATTCCGGTCATTTAATTTGCAGATAAATAGTATAAACATTTATATTATATACATATATGTGTGTGTGTGCGTGTGTGTGTGTGTGTGTTTAATAAAAGGGGAACTCATTTTACTGAGCGTTGCCCTGCAAAGCTATGCGTGCTACGTACGCACATACATGGAGCTCACTCATTTTGTACAGATCATGTTAAATCCCGTGCTTTTAAAGCCAGATGTTTTCGGAAAAACAGGGAAAATAACCTCAAGTTGGCTGCTAAGTACCATCAAAACCAAGAACGAACTTTATTTTCGACTTATTTACAGGTAGCCGACTAGACGATGTAATCAGCTAGTGGCTGATACCTAATGTAGAATTCTTCCTTTGTTACGAGAGAGTGCATAATATCCTAACATTCAAAATATGTTAAAAACGTGATGCACAAGTATAAAAAGTCACACAATCAATAGCCAAAGGAAGCGACACATACGACGTCGGCAGCACGTAAAAGTACGTTCGACAATTACCCGTAAAAATTCATCGGCGCATATCTGACTACTGATCTAAGGCTAACGCACCAATGCCAATAGAGACGGAACCTGGACAATCATGGATGCCACGGAAGGCGAACAAACAGGCTCCTGCCAACAAGTATAGGGTCCTCAGAGCAAGCAAAGAGAACCCAAGACCAACGTCATGTGTCCCTAAACGACCGGTAGTGCCCCGCCAGGCTGACATATAAGGCCCCGGCCAGAGCACAGGACCCCCTGAGCAAAGGGGAATTACCCAAGACCATGGATTAATACCCCTGTGCGATCGAGAGCACCCGGGCAGGTTGACAGCAAGAGCCTTGACAGGAGTGAAGAGCCCTCCGAAAATGAAATCAAAGGGAACGACCTCTAAATCAAAGTGGAGGGCCCTGAGCCTCGAGTGTCCCGGTGCCTTACCATATGTAAGCTCCAGCAACAGCACAAGGCCCACCAAGCAAGTGGAAAGAACCCGGTACCAATACGATGGGCCCTTAAGCGACTGAGTGTACCCTGGCATTTCAGGCCCCGGAAAAAGTGTACAGAGCCTTTTGGGAGAACGGGAAAACTCGTGGAGAAAAACCTGATCAATCAAAGGTGCTCAGGCATGGAACCAGATAGTATCCCACAACGACAACTAACAGCGTTAGTCCTTACGATAAAATGCAAGGAGATGGAGGGCAACGTAGTCCCCAGGCAACACATCCTCAATCAGCAAAGAATTAACTCCGTCTGCTTATGAACTTCTAACTTTTGCCAGCAACCGTGCTTGGTCGTCTGCGTGACCAAAAAAGTCCAATTGCATTGTGTGTAATGTTTTGTTAGAAAACTGCGTTCGTTAGGCCGGTTGTGGGCTCATTTGGAACCTATAAGTCCCCGCGGCATGGTTCATGGGGTGCATGGTCCCGTACCTTCCCCTCCCCGTCTATATCCGCCACCGGCCCGAGCGGCTTAATAGATGCGGCCCGCCAACAACATAGGGTCATCCATTCAAATAAGAAGTAACCAAAACAAGGCATGGAGAGCCTCGGAATGATCGAGTGTGCCTGAGCTGGTAACGGATGGGGGCACTAACAAGAGCGCATGGCCAGTTCACGAGCAGGTATATATAGGGCCCCCAACAAATCGCAGGGCCCTCCATCCAAATAGCGAGTCCCCAAGACCCAATGTAGAGGGCCCCCGAATGACCGAGTGTGTCTGAGCAGGTTAACAGATAGGGCTCTTAACAAAAGCGTAAGGCCCTCCATTCAAATAGGAAGCATTCAAGACCTAATGGAAATATCCCCGAACGATAAGATGCACTCCAGCAGCTTATCAGAAGAGGCCCGACAAGAGCAAACGCCCTCCATTCAAATAAGAAGTACCCGAACCCTGTGCAGAGGGTCCCCGAAAATGGAGTGTACCCGAGCAGATTATCAGACGGCCCTGACAGGAGTGCAGGGTCCTAAATTCAAAGGAGATGAACGGACGGGCCCGCCGACAGGAGCGAGGGGCCATCCATTCAAATAGGAAGTCTCAAGATACAATGTGGAGGGCCCCCGAACAATCGAGTGTGACCGGACAGGTTAACAGATGGGCCGCCGACAAGAGCGTAGGGCCTTCCGCTCAAATATGAAATACCCACGACACGATGAAGAGGGCCCCCGAATGATCCAGTGCTCTAGAGCATGTTAGCAGATGGAGGCCCCGTTGAGAGCACATGGCCCCCCACTCAAATAGAAAGTACCCAAGACCCGACGTAGAAGTTCCCCAACAATGGGATGTGCCCGAGCAGCTATCAGAAGGGGCCGCGACAAGAGCATGGGGCCCTCCACTGAAATAAGAAGTGCTCAAAACTCAGTGTGGAGGGCCCTCGAAACATGGAGCGTACCCGAGCAGGTTATCAGACGGCTCCGAAAGGAGCGCAAGGCCCTAAATTCAAACACCAAGACCCAATGTGCAGGGCCTCCGAACAATCCAGTTTGGCCGAAGAGGTGAACAGAGGGCCAGAGGGGCCCCGACAGATGCGTAGGGCCCCATTCAAATAGAATAGGACATGGTCAGATATGGAGTTCAGTACGGTTTTCGTCAAGCGACGGGGACGGGAGTCGTGCCGATTAGGAGAGAGGAGGAGGTCCACAAGAGGAAAATGCAGGAGCATCTCACCAACAGAAACAAAACACGTCAGATACATATGAATATTCCTGCCTCGTCAACGTAGGCCGACGAGCCTTCCATCTCAAAGCTGATGATGGGGACAAGAATTGACCACTTCATCTCGTGTGTTCTACATTTCTAGCGATTCTCAAGTAAATCAAAGGGGCTGGGGTTTGCCTAGCCAGCACGGATGGTTGTGGAGTATTTCACCCGTCTCGGCGCGGGGCTCGCTTGCCGCTCGCGGTCGGTATCGTACGCACAAGCGGGAAGGAGCGCGGGCCCGTCCCGTGAATGGCGCGGGCCCGGTTTGTACTCGACACCTAGGGGTGGTTGGTTCGACTATTTGTCGCTTGGCGACCGCCACCCTACACCTAGCGGCCGACCGCGTTTGTTTGGTCTAGTAACGTGTGTAATAAACAATAATTACATCGCGTAAAAAACAGTAATAAAATCGTGGTCGTGTTAAAGAGAAAACATGCATTGGTCGCAATTGATTGTTCGATGATAACTTTACGGTAAGTTTCGATCTGTTTGTTCTACGACAATTTCCAGTATATTTTTAGAATCGTGTGCTTCATTCTGGGTCGGGTGGATGTCAAAGGTGCCATCTCTGTTGATGGTAACAGTAGACCTTTTTGGTCATGCGGGTCAAACAGCT